TATCACAAGTATATTCCAGAGTGAAAAAATTGTTCGGTATTAAGTTATTTTCGAAATAAGACTTGTAGTAGCATTTGAATATCTCGTATTAGGTAACATGACGTCTAAAGTCATTAATATCGTGAATAGATAAGCTTTCAGTGTATTTAACGATCTTCTCAGATATGATTCACCCTTGAGCTCTGAGCAAATCTTTAATTCATATTAGTTATAACTCAGGTAATACAGCCATTGAATCCGTTAATAATGGACATACCTTTTATGCTTAGATATCAGATTTTGAAAACTTGGAAACAATATTTTTTAAGCGGAATAATAATAATACATTTACGCAAAATATAACTTTATAGAGGCAATAACGGTTGAATGTTTTTACCTACAATCAATGTTAGTTATAACAAATATTCAAGAAGTGAAGCCTTTCAAAGCCTGTCAATGCAATCAAGTTGACATTGACACGCAAGTATCGTCTGGGAAATTTCCAAATTCAAAATATTAAACGCATAATTTTATACCGATTTAAGTCGAGCTAAGCAATATTATATTTCATTTTTAATTCATGAATACATGGCTAAGAAAATTATAACTGGAAAACATTCTGAAATGAAACGATACAAAAATATCAACCACACTTGAATATTTACAGCATTTATTTGAATCGTAGGCAGTGGAAAGAAATATTTTCGCTTGACAATACCGTATTTTAAAAGAAGATATCCTTAATCGCACAGAAGGCAAATTCGTCGCATATTTTGGCGAATCTTCGTCCGCGAATTTTGACCTTTACACCCATTGTAACAAGTGATTTTATTGAATGCTGGGGGTTGTCGGGCAGTGGGGCGTCGGATCGATACTGGGTTACGGATATAAATAGGACAGCCGAAGTTAGAGGCCGCGCGCCTCTAGAACTTCGGTGTAATTGTAAATCGATATGTCAGATGCTGTTGATGCTTGAAGGCTATCCGCATTGATTGTACCTTGTTATGAGCGGGAGCTTTAATGGTCTTAGATAAATACAATCCAGTGTGGTTAATAGGATCATTTTAAGGAATATTGTTTTCTCGGTTGTACTTTACCGCTATTTTTAGACGTTTATTTCAAATAAAAGGGTTAAATAAAATTGATGACGTCAATGACGGTCTAACAATGTCTGAAGGGGTGGAATTATAAATGATCTGTTATACAGTAGCTTATAAATACTTTATTGGTACAAAAAACTTTGAACATTTCAATTATACGCTTTTTTATTTCTGATACGGTCCAGGCTCGAACCAATAATAAGAGGAATGAGGCTTTTTTTATTTTACATAAAGTCTCTATATACAGATTAGAACGTTTAAACATTAGAAATAAAAAAATAATGGTTACATTCAGATAATTTCGTTGTATATATCATAATTAGGCATTAGGTACTATCCATAATCACAATATAAGCTATGGATAAAATACGATGTACGACGTACGTAAAATCAATTACTACAATCTTCTCGCTTGAAATATTTTTAATTACTAAGTTCCTAATACGTTGAATTAATATTGCAATAATGAAAATATTTTCTCTTTCGTTTAATTGTACCTTTGACATCTTCCGTGTTACACGTAATAAGATATACACGTGTGTCTTACTAATTCTAATTCTATATCAAATCTGAAAACTATCACACATTTATCCAGTAACAAACAGTTCACAATTCCCAGTCTTTCTTTATTTCTATCATTATGCCCATAAACGTAATTCTCGAAGCTTGTCTGAATGGTTCCTTTCAATGCAGTACTGGTATATACCAGGGCTTAAGACTCACCATGGAGTTGAAATAGGGGCTTAAAAGTATTTACACAAATCTCTTCCTTATCAGACGAATTGCAGTAGGCTTTAGGGGTATGGCGTAGCTGCTCAACGAATTTGATAAATAAAATGAAAATTTTGGAAATACTATTTAGCTATATAATTTTTCTATTATGTTTAAATCAAAATATCACTTGATTTTAGAAGTTTTTTATTTAGTATGTTTTCTATATATATATGCTTGCCTGGTACGTAATGACTTAATAAAAAAAATGTGTTTGTGAACCCTTTTAAGTAAAAAAATCTGGGTTCCTAGCTCTTCCATAATAAACTTCATAGTAAATTCCATAACAAAGTATTGTTTTACTGTTTACAACACGCGTGGGTACATAAGTGAGTGTGTGGATGCATTCATATTAAATAATATGAAAGTTATTGAATGTATATAAGGAAAGTAACTTCCAAAGCTATTACCGTTTGGCCTGAATCACTACAGTTTCATATAAACTCTCTGAACCGTTACTAATTGTGTAGGAGAAACTTGAGCCTGTTTCAACTTTAGCAGAACAAACTTATCAGTAACGGAGACCCACAAAGGGTTTTGGGCCTTTCATTTATTTCACGATCACGTTACGCTATCTGCTGAGCATTCAAGAGATTGCCTTTTTCTTTGACGTCTTTCGTTTGTGTATTCTTATCGGTGTTTTGTTTCGTTCAAGCGAGTCTTTCGTTTGTACGCAGCTTGGGTTCTTCTAATGATCGTTGAGAAAGGTAGTATTTTCTACTTTAAAGCATTCTAAATTTTAAAATTCTGTGGAAAAGAATAACCAGGAAGAAGATGGTCATCGTTGAAGCTATTCTTTATTGGTTTTGGTCCTGAACAAACAACCGAGTGTCGAGCAAAAAAGATATTAATATGACTGTACACGTGTTGAAATTACAGCAATTTCAGTGTAAAATGAAGTTTTGATTAATTGATCGAGTGCGTGTGACGCGAATGTGTTATTTAAGATGAAGTCAACGGTTAATTGGCATGAAAATTAAAAAGTGGATTGATTGTACTCTTCCACACGTTCCTGGCCTATATACAGCAATATAATGTTTAAAAGTATATTATAACCGAGTTGATACATATCAATTAAAAAGTACCTGTTAACGATTATTAACATAAGTACCTAGTCCGTCTGAAATGCGTATGAAACTGAATAACCACATCTCAAAAATCAAAGAACTATTTACTAAGTTCGAATTTACCTAATTTAAATCAAAAAGGATTATCTTAATATTACTTAGAGTGAAATGTTATTTCGAGACTTAGATTTAATCGTAGATTTTGACATAGTTCCGCGAGAGACCAAGAGTGATTGAAACCCTAAATCATCATCATAAAAAAACAAATTTATACATGACCTGTCGCGGTCGGTTAAAAATATGTTATGTTTATTATTATGTTTATTTAGTAAATTTTCATAAATAAAATTTTTCATACATTATTATCTGTATCAGAATATACGTTACGAATTATATTTCTTTAAAATTTTATATACCATGTAATTTATTTTCTATTGTTTTGCTAATAAATCGTGTTACTGACGTAAAAGGAACCTCATAAAAGCTGTTTACGCCCGTAAAACGCCAATACTTGCGTTAACATAATAATATATAATGTAAAACTCTTTAATATTAATTACGTCACATTAGCTTCCACACCGTAGAACCTTTACGATAACTATAATAATTAAAAGGTCTATTTACGTTTATATTTGTGTTTTGTAACAGTGAAACGTATACTTAAATTTTAATACAGAATTTAATTCAATTTCTTGACACAAAATATAATAACAAACTCCATACAAGAAATTAATATTCATTCAAATGTGCGAAACTTGTATTAGGCGTGTCCTTGTAATGAAAATAGCGTTATTACGACATAAGAGATCAATAGTCGCATGACTGTATATAAATAGAAATTATTAGGTGTTAATCTCAAATGTGATTTCTTCATATGGTCTAAAAAGAGAGTTACTAATCATCCATACAGGTACCTCGATTTAAGCGCGTTACTTTTCAGTCTGTGCCCACACTCACAAATAGTGAACGGCTTAAGTGAATATATTAAAATCGAATCTGAAGTAAACTTACTTAAAAATTACTTTAACGTTTTTATTTTTGCCGCGCACCACCACTACGTGGAACCAGCTGCCCACTGAAGTATTTACGAACCAATTCAACTTAGGGTCCTTCAAGAATAGAGCGTACCAATTCTTATATGGCCGGCAGCGCGCTTGCGAGCCTTCTGGCAGTGTGAGTGTCCATGGGCTTAACATCAGGTGAGCCTCCTGCCCGTTTGCCTCATGCAACATAAAAAAAGTAGATTATCAAAGTTAAGTTATCTACAGGCTAATTCTATTAACGGTAAAAAAAATAGACCATTTCAAAAAAAATCTTGCCATTTTTACAAAACAACTTATTTTAATTCTTAAATAAGTTAAAAGCATTAGAACTGGCATATGTTTGGTTCAATTCAATCGGCTATACTCGGTTAGTCACCAAAATGATAAGATTAAACTTGTATATCACGAGCTAATCTCAGGAGATGACAACGTATGATGTATTGCAGATTAAAGTTTAAAATAATATATAGAGAAAAACGCAAGTTAGTTCTATCTCAGCCTGGTTTTGGGTTTATTCAGTTACGTAACAAACAAAACGAACCTGCCAACGCAGTTTAATTAGGTAAGGCTGACTTTTACATTACATTCATTTGATTCTTCCATAAAAAAGGACTGTGTTACGAAATTGGCGTTTATTATGTGTGAAGTGTGAACATCTGTTTCTTCTTTAGTCGCGTTCTTCATTAATGAAGCTCATTTAGGTATTGGGTTGTGTTTATTCCCCTCTTCATTACGGGATTTTTTTATTTTATGAAATATTGTGTTCCGCCTGAGTAATGGCCTATAAGGACCTTATCTTGGCCGCTCCAGTAGGGGATCGGTCTCGGGTCTTCCACTCTACCGGCCACCATCAGCTTCTCTAAGTTATCGGTTCAAACGCAGAGGTCAAATAAAGTTTTAAATGATGTAGATACGTTTTGACGTCAGTACAGTTTATCGAATTTCCTTAATTTCTAAGAAATCTGTTTGAACATTTGAGTGACTTCGATTCGAAAATAGATTAAACAAAGATATTTTTTTTGTTGCAGTGATCAAACAAAATGCATATTGAAGTACAAGTAGCATTAAACTTCGTGATATCATACCTCTACAACAAACTGCCGAGGCGGCGGGTGAACATTTTCGGAGAGGAGCTGGAGAAGGCGTTAAAAGACAAGTTTAGGGGTCACTGGTACCCTGACAGACCGTGCAGAGGCTCAGCATTTAGGTGCTTGAAGACTGGGGGTCCTTTAGACCCTGTGTTGGAGAGGGCGGCAAGAGAATCGGGCGTTCCAGTCCGTGATGTGCTGGAACACCTTCCAAGAGACCTGGCTGTTTGGGTCGACCCAGGTAATTTCAATTTTTAATCTTTTGTGAAAGTATTTGAACTATAAAATGAGCAACATGACTGATTTTTGCTTAACTGCGAAACTACTTACGATAATCCAATACTTTTTATTTTAAAAGCTCTTATTGTGTTAACATTTAATTGTTAAACTACAAACAATTCTGCGTGAAATATCTGACGCAGTCTAATTTCATGGTCATTGTTATTGTGTAATTAAGTTCTTCCTATAACAAAACAAGATGTTGTGCTCCATTTATAACCCGTGTTCATAAATTTAAACTTTGAAATTGCGCATCTATTAATATCAAAACTTTGCTGGAAGAGAAGAATTATAACGAAAAATGTATTGTAAAACTTTTTTTTGTATTTTCAGGAGAAGTGTCCTACCGAATCGGAGAAAAAGGTGCGGTGAAGGTTCTCTTCAGCAGCGATGAACGAGCAGCAGAGGAGCGAACTGACAGAGAGGTATTATTATTTTTCTATCTTATTTAGAAAGCCCCAAGATTTTTTATATCTGAATCCTTATGAAGCACAGATGGAAACTATAAAAATAAACATTAACAATTTGGTTTCGCAAAGCTAATATGTTAAAATTTTTGGATGCTATTGCCAATTCCTTATATTGATGTTAACGCTCTATCAGACGTAAACAAAAACAGGGTAATGGAATAGAGATATCATAAATCAATGTTTACCAGTTACGTAAAAATTGGCACAGCTTCAAGTAGGGCAATAAAGCAAACAATATCGCAGAAACAGATCAAACGCAATGGCTTATAGGTCAACCTAGACTTTCTCCATTAGCCTAAAAGGCCCCAGTAAAGCAATGACGGTAACAAAACATTTTTGTTTCAGGTGACTCGCGCCTTCAACCCCGAAGCGCAATGCTTCAGGCCCGTGGAGCCGGTGGCGGCGCCTTCGCCCCCCGCGCCCGCCGCCTTCTCTCCGGCGCCGCCGTTCCGCGCGCAACCGCTGACCTTCACGACGGCTACCTTCGCGCAGACCAAGTTCGGTAGCACCAAGCTGAAGACGAGCAGCAAGCGCGCCAACCGCATGTCTCCCACGGAGTTCAGCAACTACATCAAGCAGCGCGCCGTGCAGCAACAGCTGGCGGCGCGGGCGCTGTCTCCGGCCGACCCGGCGGCCTACTTCGTGTCGCGGCGCGAGGCGGCCCCGCATCTGCTGCTCGCCAACTGAGGCTCTCGCCGCTCATAGATTCTTTACTTTTGTACGAGAGACGCGCGCCGCGATTTATTTTTTTATTTTCCGCGGGGGCGTCCCGCGCCGCCCGCCGCTTGTGATATCCGTACGATTTTTCATAACTTTTTGTATTCTCGTTCGTTACGTCGATGTGTAAATTTATAGGAGCGATGATCTGCCGCGCGACTCGCCGGCGATTTATTTTCTTACTGTTTAAAGCCGAGTCGGGTAGAAGTCTTCGGTCGATGCGACTTTCGTGAAGCGAAGCGAGAGTGCGCTCGCGACGAACCTTCACGAGCGAGCCTGTATTCATTCGTCCTCCGATCTAAGAGAATACTGATAATATTTAAATATGTATACTTTATATTCGTAGTACGCGAAACGTCTAATTTTTCACGTCGAAAGGCCAATAGAGAAATGACATATTTTTAATATTTAAAACTAAATTCATACTTTCTAAGATATAGCGTACTGTAACTGTTGTGTATTCGAATTTTGTATGTAATGACGTTTGCATATCCGTTCGGACGCGGTCGGACGGCGCGGCGGGCCGCCCGAAGGCGTCGGAGATCTCACCTAGAGTAGTACACCTCGTACGATTGTACCCTTGTAATGATTATATTAAACGTAAATATATTATAGGATTAGCTACGTTTCAATCTAACAGTATTTTTTTAAGAAGATATTAGTCCTCGTGTACATTGCCGGCCGACCGCGTCGAGGCGGCCGGCCTTAGTCTGTACGGTATACTTAATACTTATATAATGTTATAAAGACGTGAATGTGAATAAAAAGTATTTCTCAATTCATAAAGTAACTGGTGCATGCGAATTCATAAAGTAAAAACTATGTGTTATTTATCTTTTTTATATTTCACTTGGCACGTTCGGTGTTTCAATCGAGGCTCATAGTTGTAGGAGGCTGTGCTTAGGTACGCTGTAGTCAGCTTGTCGTTGATCGGGACTGTGCTCGCTCGCCGTCACTCACCACCACCCCACCACCCCACTACCACACGTCACTCGAGAGAGGTTCCTCCACATGACCGGCGTCCCTTTCATTTTTTATATCGAATGACCCTTATTTTCTATTAGTGTAATAAAAGTTACGCAAATTAATTTAAATAAAAGCTTTAATAGTTAAAATAGCGCGGATATTATTGTAATATAAACTGTTTAACAGATTTTTACAACTGTAAAGTATAAACAATAACTCCATATGTCGCAAATGCAAGGTCATATCGAGAAACCAAAATTATTGATAGCACAACAATGACAAGTTGTATACGGAAATGTGCACTATTTTTTTACGATTTTTATATTTTCATTTAGATTAAGTGTAGTAGAATAATTTAATCATTAATGCAATTTATTAATACCCTATTATTACGTAAACGCGGGCTCGATTGAAAAACTGAGCAAAACGCTACAGTATTTTTTGTAGATAAAATCTTATAACGTAAGTTTAATAATACAACTTAGTATAATGAGATTTTTTATTACTAAAGATACTTTTTATTTTTCTTTCTTTTGTAAGATATATTCGATGAGGTGTTAAATATAGAATAATATTTGCATAATATAGATAGCGGATCTCCATAACCGCAAATATAATTAGTCAATAATAATTTTTCATATTGTTGTACGACTTTTTAAGTTTATATTAAAATGTTTTGTGCAATCTATGATGTGTTTCATTTAATTAAAAATCACCTGTAGCCTAGAAGGCTACCTTTGAAATAGCGAAATTTGAATTATCAAATAGCGGCTATTTAAAATACAGTACATACGTTAATCGCCTAAGATTAAATACTGTTTAGATATGTACGAGAAAATTGAACCCAGATCCGATAATAAACATAGATTTTCTTTTTGGAGCTAAGTAAAACCCTAAATTATCAAATCACAAAAATATTGATAACCACAGTAACAAATACTGTATTAACTACAGCCCTGCGATTCTGTAACTCACACAGCGGTTTTCGCATCGGCGGTCGCTCTCAAATCATGGCATTCTGAAAAGCCTGCCAAATCATAAAATGACTGCTTTACGACTGATTTGAGAGTGACCGCCGCGCCGATGCGAAAACCGCTGTGTGAGTTCGAAAAGTGAGTTACAGAATCGCAAGGCTGGCCACGTTCTAAACGTTTGTTTGTTTCACGTTTATTGCCAGTTCTTCTCTTCCGTTCTACGCCCTTGATTTGAGAACTGGCAGTAAATGTAAAATTAGAAGCATTTAGGTAATGTATATTTCTTTTTTGACGCTCATAAGTGTACATTGTGTTACATATATGAATAAATTATTTTTGACTTTTGTCCTACCATCAATTTAGTGGGGACACATGTAAATAAAACAATATATTATTTAAGTCGCTTTATTCATGAAACCACAAAGATGACAAAGTAAACCTCATCTATGGACAAAGCGTCATAAAGACAGAAATTATCTGATTCTCTTCAAATAGTTTTAATACGTATACCGTAAGTCCAATAACAGAGTTTCGTCGAATGAACGAAAACTATCGCGAATATCGAAAAACTTTAATATCGTAAATTTGCTCTTAACAATTGACTGATATAATAAACCGTATCTAAAGAGGAAAGATTTGTATTCTCATTGTTTAAAAAATCTTTCACCGTTAGAATGCCTATCCCCGAGTAGGTAACATAAGCTATATTTATTTCTAAAATATTAAATATATCGTTCCAGCCGTTACGATAGTCTCACTACAGCCACAATAGTTTTCGAATCTTTGCTACGTATCAAAAAGGCACTATTACAATATTTTACTTAAGTAAACCACATAATTTGTATGTAAATTTTTCAAATCATACAATATGATTCAATACAAGCGTTATTACAACGATTAACCGTAATTAAATATTTTGATCGATTACATCGCCATAGATGGGACGATGCAAATTTGTGGTTGACTTACGAGTAGAAAATATACAAAGTAACCTTTATAAAATAATCAGTACATTTTAATGGAAACCTAAAATAGTTCAAATCAACTCAATTAATTCCTAATTTGTAGTCAAACGTATTTACATAATCTAAATAAAATATTAATTAAAAACCCTAAGGTTTCGGCCCACCTTCGAGAGAAGGTCCGAATTTTAGTCGCCGCGTCATAACCCACCACTCTTCAGAATCATAATCATTCTTCTCGAAGATGGCGCCGCTGCATTAAAACTAAAAAGCTCTATTTTCGAAATTCAAAGATAAAACAATTTTTAAAGTGACTAAAAGCAAATTTTGGCCCATTATTTCAGTATTTTGAATACGGAAATGTATTGACTTAATTAAAATTACAAAATAACAATATATCTAGACTAAACCTAACTTAAAAGACCCAACTTAGAATACGTCTACCATTAAAACAACATTAACTGTATTACGAATTGAATAATTGTAATTAAAAATAAATAACACAAAATGAGCAGATTGATAAAGATCGACCGCAACGGAGACGAGAACGGAAGAGGAATGCCAATAAAGGAAAGTCTACCTTCGAGTTAATACAAAACGTATTTACAGATCGGGACCACTCACGCCGCATTCGTCCGTCGGCAGTTCGGTGCCCCAAATGTACAAGTCGAACTGGCCCCGAACCAGTTCTCATCATCAGTGAGCCATCTCGATGTGCCGCTGCAGGCTCTTCTTGTTCATGTAGAATCGGTCGCACATGGCGCACGGAAAGAACACCTTCTCGTTGTCCGAGTGCCTCGCCCGCGTGTGCGAAGACAGATCGATGGCCCTCGCGAAGTACACCTTGCAGATGTTGCAGAAGAACTTGGTGGGCGTGGCGTGCATGGTGCGGTGGGCGATGAGGTCGCGGGGCGTGGCCACCCCGTCCCCGCACTGAGCGCACGTGAACTCGCCGGGCTGCGCCGGCGGAGCGGAGCCGTCGTCCTCCGAGTCTCCGGCCGACTCTTCGTCGCCGTGCTGCGTTTCGCGGTGCGCGTTCAGGGCGTCGAGGTCGTCGAAGCGCTCCCCGCAGACCTCGCAGGCCGAGCCCTCCTCGTCCTGCAGGTTGGCCGAGCCGCCCTCCCCGGCGTCGTAGTGCTTCTTCATGTGCACTATGAGAGTGCTCTTGCGCGTGAAGCTCTTGTCGCAGACGGGGCAGAACACCGAGTTCGGTTGGTGCACCTCGTCCATGTGGCGCTGGTAGGCCGCCCGCTTGGTGAACTCTCGGTCGCATATCCTACAGTATCTGTCGTCCGAAGGCCCGGACGCGTTCGTCGACTGGTCCATCTCTCCGGAGTCGTCGGATCGCAACTTCTTATTCGGGTTGACGACAGTCACCTCGACCTCCGGAGGCAGCCTGCGCTTGGTCAAGGGGGAGGGGGCCGACGTCGTGGTGTGGGAGACGCGGGCCAGCTGAGAGGCGTCGACGACTTCGTATTTGCTGACTTTGCTGGTCACTTTGTTCTGGGGCATCCAAAGGCCCGAGTTGTTCGCGGCCGCCTTTCCGTCCGGGGAGCGAAGATGCCACCCGCGGTGGCTCTTCAGCGCGGCGATCGAGACGTAGCTCTTGTGGCATATTTCACAGTCAAAAGTTTGCGGCTGCTGGGGCAGCTGATTGATGCACTGGTGGTTCTGCAACGCCAGCAACCCCACGAATTGCTTCCCGCAGGTGTCGCACGGATAGCGGGCTTGGTACTCGGCGTTGGGGTCGGGGCGCTCGGTCTCTCGCTCCTCGAACTCCACTTCCACCTCCTGAGTCATCTCCTGAGACTTTCCGGGGCCTTGAGAGGAGTTGTAGCCTAACAGTTCTCGCGCGTGATCGGATTTTAAGTGTTCGTACAGCTCCAGCGTCGAGTTTAATGGCTTCCCGCATATCTTACACATTTGAACCGTCGACTTGTGGACGTTCTTCCTGTGTCGATAATAGGACTTCTTGTCGGCGAAAGATATTTTGCAAATGGTACAACTGGAGCGACTGTTGTTGACCTCGACCGAAGTGTCGGTAGCGGAAGGGTTGATGATGCCGTGCTTGGCGCGTTTGTGCTTCCACAGGCTGGCCTTGAGCGGAAAGCGTTTGTAACACAATTCGCACGAGAACTGCATGGATTCTTGGGGCGTCGATTGCATGGAGTTGGTCATGTTGGCGAAGTTGAAACTGTTAAACTGAGGTGTCGACAGAATAGCCCCATTTTCGTCGGGGTTGTATTCGTCCTCCTCCGTGGAGGCGTGCATGGTGTTCTCCTCACTGTCGTTGTGTCTGTCGTTCAAAAGGTCCGCGTGCAACACCTTCTTATGCTTCCAAATATTTTTCTTATGCATAAACCCTTTGCCGCATATATCACAAGAATAGGGAGCGTTGGGCACGTTACAGTTCGGTTTGAACGGACTGAATCCCGGTTGGATCATCGAAAAGTGTATCGGTTTTCCGATAATCTGCGGAGCGAAACTCCTCGAATCGCCCGGCCTTTTCTTGTTGGATGGTACTTTGGCGTGAATACGCATATGGTTCGAGAAAGCCTGGCGGCTTTTGAATGTTCTGACACAAATATCGCAGAAGAAATCTGTGTCTCCCGCGCCAATAGTGCTCGATCCGGGATGAGTCTGTTGGACGTGTTGAGACAGCTTCTGAGGACTACTGTAAGAGTTTCCGCACAAACTGCACGGATAGAATTTGACACGCAAGTGGCTGTTTTTGTGCTCGGCCAGTTCGGAGGGCCGCAAGAATTTCTTCTCACATTGGTCGCAGTGATGCGCGACCTGGTTGTGTTCGGCGACCTGGTGGTCGGTCCACGCGTCGACCGTCTCGAATATGGCGTTACATTCGGTGCACGAGTAATGGTACTCCTCGGCCTCTTCTTTCACCAGCGACATGTCCGGCTCGGAAGCATGAGTTCCCAGCATCTTGAGAGAGTGATCCGTGTAGGTATGCTTGTCGAGATCGGCGGCGTGTTCGAACTTTGCCTCGCAGTGTTGGCAGTAGTGGGGGGTCTCTTCGTTGTGAATAGCTTTCAAATGTTTCACGAGAGCCTGATAAGAGCAGCATTTCTTATCACATATCGGGCAATCCGTCGGTCGTCCGTCGATGCACTTGCTCTGACTGTCGGGATCGAAATTGCCGGCGTGGACGGCCACGGCGTGCTCGTTAAAGTCCTGCACGTTGCCAAACTTCTCGGTGCACAGATCGCACGCGATGTACACGGTGCATTCGCCGTTGCGGATGTGCTTCTTCCAAATAGATTTATCTTTGAATCGTGAGCCGCAATGTACGCACGCGAGAACAACGTGCGATTGGCCATCCTCGTGCACGTCGAGCACGTGCTTCATTATCAATTGTTTCAATTGGAACTTAGCGGGACACAGCTTGCAGGCGTAAGACCTCGCGTTGAGAATGTCTTTGTATTGCACTTTAACCTTTGGCTCGTCGTCGATCACTTGATCGTCGGTGACGCCGCCTTCCTTGTAGATGATTTTCCACAAATCGGTGCACGAGTTCGACCGCATGTGGCTCAGCAGAGCGCCGATATGAGAAAATGTAACGACGCAATTGTAGCACGTGTGCTTGGGGACTTTGTGCCCGTTTTTTTGCAAATGCTGGATGACCGCTTTTCTTCGGGGATGTTCTCTATCGCAGCAGAGACACCTCTGGGTATTGATTTGTTCGATTATGTCCCGATACTTGAGAATGAATTCTCTTTGCGTCTTAGTAACGTATTGTTTGTCCGGATCCAGCTCTTTGGCCTCTTCTTCTCCATCTCCACCGTCGTCCGCGGTGTAATCTTCCAATTCCTCTTCTTCGTTTTCAATTGCTTCGCTGTTGTACGAATTTTGCATATCCTCGTTTATTTCCACGACAGGGGCTATCGGAGGGTCACCGTCTTGGTCGTATTCGTAATTTTCTTGACTGTCATCGACGTCTTTGTCCGTTTCTTCGGGTTCTTTTGCATCTTCTTCGCCATCCTCGTGAGGCTCTTCGGATACTTTCTCCCGACTTTCATCTATACCTTCATTTTCTTTTCCTAAATCGTTCTGATGTTCGTCTCCAGCATTTTCTTCCTCGTCTTCCGCTTCGTTCTCGGGCCTAACTCCAGTTTCTTCCTCATTATCGGGTTGACGCGCGATTTCAATTTCATTTTCTGAATCCATATCGACCGTATCGTAATTCTGGTTATGATTTTGGACGTCGTCATCTTTATCGGCGTCGTCTTGGTGGATGAAGCCATCGGGCTCGGATAAGATAGTTTCGACTTGGAATGAGGCAATCTCCGGTTCGGATATCAACGTTTCGGGGCTTTCGGGCCCCGAGTTAATAATTTCTGGCTCCGATACCAGAACCTCCGGTTTGGTCGTAAGTAGCGTTTTCAATATTTGCGGTTCCTTCTTTTTAATTTGCAAATCTTTAAGCGCCTTGATACGCAACGGATAAGGCAAATTGTTCTGCGAAGGCTTGAGGCTTCTGATGGGTATCGGTTTTGGTGGAATTATTTTCTTAGGCATAAGTTTGATAGATTGTTGTAGTTGGGGCAGCTGGAGTTGCATCTTATGGCTGATGGGATTCGGCATCAACCGGGCTTTAGGGTTAAACGGGTTGGGTCGCAATTTAGGATGCATCCGGTTGTGTGATTTTTTAGGCGTTATTTTGTTTGTATATCTATCGAAGCTGTGAGCTGTCAGTTCGTGTCGCCTGGCATTGTGAGAATATCTATAAGAGCGGCCGCACACGAGACAGTCTTTAGACGCCAGTTGTTGTATTCCTTGACGCGAGTGTAAGGTCTCGCCCGAAGGACGCATCACGGTGATGGACACTTCGGGTACATTAGGGGCGTTGAAGGCCTGATCCTCGTTCATCTCCTCGTCTTCCATTTCCTCTTCATCTTTATCGCTTTCGACACCCTGAAATCAAATATAACTTTGTTTTAAACAAATGATAGAATATTGTGAAGCAAACAAAAATATACTAATACACTTTCAATTAATGACTTGCTATATTGAGTAAAAGCAGAAAATGTAGCCCAAAGCTCCTAAGATCGGTGGATCAAATCCTGACAAGGGAGATGACTTTTTGTGTTATAAAACATGGTAAACATGTTCTTGAAATGCCCAAAAACTTGCTTAAAACATTGTTATAAGTTTTGTCGTTGACGATAAAGTACATAATGTGGAATAATTTCAATATGGACAATTTGGTTTAAATAAAATTTTACCGAAGTAAAATGTTATAATTAAGAAAAGAGTATTTATTTATCCGAATCCAATTCATATAAATATGATGATTTCATAATTCGTATGAAGACTTAAAAAAACTAGACAACTTTTTCCTAGAATGTCACAAATCCAATCCATTAAATAAAAAAAAGAAAACAAGACCTTAAATTTATACCGAACATCACATACAAATATTAGGGACACAAAAAGTAATGGTTTATTTAATGAGGTAGTTGGTTGACGGTATGTAAGTTTTGATTTACTCCTAAGCACATTATTTGGTATTGACCAACCGAGCCCAAGACTGAAAATAAAGAACAGAATTTTATTATTATATTTTTATCTTAATATTTATATTACATGTAATAATATTTAAATAGTAAAACAGAAATGATTGAATGTGATATAAAATGAGACTGAATATTCTAATTAATTACGTAAGACCCTCTATTTAAACAGAATGAGCCCACCCTTAGAAAACTTAAAATTTCCACTAAATAAACCAAAATTTGCTCCACATTTAATACAATTAAGATGGAGGTATCATTTTGATAGAACTTTGCCTATGAATTATGCAATGACTTACACAGAGATAACTATTCACACTATTCTTATTGGGAAAATTTATAGTTTGGGGTAAATATTTGTAGTTAGGTTTATGTGAAAATCACTTAAGGAGGGCAAAGAGTGCATACACAAACTGTATGTTCTTTGCAAATAGATATGCCACATTTAAAGCAGGCCTGTGTGGTTCGTCTGTCCCTCTTTGAGGTCTGGATACAAATTCTACATCTCCTCCTATTATTATACGACACTCTATTTTCAACAGGGTTCAACCTCGGCCTCTTCAAAGCGAGCGACTCGCTCAAGTCGTGGCCTACATCTAGAGTTTCCAGTAGACTCGAGGCCAATTTGCGAATAAATAAACGACGGTTCAACACATTTCCATTATTGCTGACACTCCACAATACTTGAGCGTTCACCGATGCAATATTCAAAAGCATGAAAAACAAGGATAAAGTCCAATCATTGGTGTTCTGCATAGTTGTGTAATAATGCATCAGGACATCGACCACTTCCACCGTCGACTTGTATTTTTTATATTCGGACACAGCCGAATGAGTCGTGTGTGATCGTTTATAGTGACTTGGTTCATTACTCAATATGTTGCCAATCTTGGAATTTGCACTCACAAAGGACGACAGAACCGTGCCGTTATCGAAGAAACCATTGAGGAACGGTTTGCTTTTTCTATCCGAAGAAAGGAAGATCGGTGGAATGTTTTCATCGTTTGGATTCAGTGCGGCAATGCTAAATAAGCTGTATTCTTTCCTAAGAGTATCGATTAAATTAACAGATGTGAACCAACTGTCCATTATGATGATGCGTCCGCTACCCGCTAAGTGCTGCACCAATTTAAAGGCAATGTCTTCACTCCTGAAATAACTGTCTGTGATGACATCTAAATTGCTGATGTAGAAATTTTTTGGGTCTACAACGAGTACAACTTTCATGCCCTCTTTCATTTCCTTGTTTTTAATACTATATCTGAAAGGACAAGGGCCCCAAACCGGCAGCAGCGTCTCGTCTATGACTGCAATATTCCCAATCTCCATGGATGTGCGACAATTCATAGCAAATATTTCAAATACTTTTCTTATGCGCTTCATTATGTCCAATTGCATCATTCCAGAGTCATCTTCTGTATCAAAACTGATGTTTTCAAGTAAAACTTTAAAGCGCTGATAATTCATAGCTCTCTGGATGCATATCGGTCCAAAGTCATAGTCCCAGAGGTCACTGCATTTTTCATGAGTCGGCCTCATAATGCCTTGGTAATAGAGAATACCAATAAAAGTTTTGATTTCTTTCATAGTGGTCGGATGATTGTTCGTCTTGGACATATTTTCATTGGTAGATGTGGCAATTAGTTCCAGCAAATCATCACTGATGAGCATCTGCCACGCATCTCTCGGTCTAGGATAGCATTTGACACCATTTGTATGTATGTTTCGTTTTCGCAATTGTGATACTTCTTTTACTTTTGCTTTATTTTCGGCTAAAGATAACTTTGGCAATTTTGATAGAACAATTTTGTTCTTACAAATGTAACCAGTTTTGGAATTGCTGCATGCAGCAGGAACTTCATCCTTTAATTCTGTTTCAACGTCAGAGTCATGATCTGATATATAAGAAAATTCACATTCCTCAGTGGACTGGAGAGAATCGATAACTTCATCGTCCCTTATAATATCCAGTATAGCTTGAACTCGTTGCCAGTCCATTCGAGGATCTATATTTTTCTGTGAATAAAATAATTCAGTTGAACTATTCTCTATTTCTTCTTATTTTCTAATAAAACACAAAAGAATAAAAAGTGGAAGTGGCACATTCATCAGGTGAAAAGAAAATAAGTAATAAATATAGTTATTACCTTATCACTTCTCGGAGTGAGTCCCAAAGATGCCAATATTGGTGGGCCTTCAGGTTGGATCTTGTTTGAGGATGCAGCTGTCTGAAAAAATTTACATCTTATTAAGAATAAAAACACCATTTTAGCTTATTAAAATAAATTAAAAAGTATTTGTTATAAAATGTCACCATAAATGTTTCAAGTATTGGATGACCTTGACATGAATAAGTCCTATACTTCAACACCTAACAGGATAAATAACTACACTTATATTAATTTTCATAATAGACATTTAATTAATTTAAAAAAATATTCTAACTTACTTCATCATCAGGATAAGATCCATTGATAACCACTCCATCATCATAACCCCCATCAGATAATCCCTCATTTGGTTCAGTTTTAATATGAATCTGAAAAACCATGTTTCATAATGTAAACAAACAAAGCAACTGGAAAAATCAGTTTAGCACTAAAATTTAAACAGAAAATAACCTCACCTCTTCTAGATGGCTGCTCTCTTTATTAATCAGAGATTGTAGTTTGTTTTGTGTCCTTTCACAAACTGACTTGAATGTGTGCCAGTTATTGACATTATCCATGCACTTTCTGCAGACATTAGTTGGCAATTCGTCATTTTTGTTTATCTGAAAAAATAAAGATACGTGTTACGAGTTTCAATAGCACAAAGATACGCGCACTCCATCAGTGTATGACGAGCGAAACCGCGACTCACATAATATAGATATGGCGCGAGGAGAAACCGACAAACTTAGTAAGTAGGCGTAGGTATAACTCGAACGACGGGCGGCGACGAGCGCCTGCTCTTCGACCGAATAACTACATGCGAGACGGCGTCCAGCGAGCCCCACAAGGGTTGCCGCTCAATAGTCTCACACACACATCTATACCTAGCACACTGACGCCGAGAGCGACGCTCCTCAGGCGAGAGACGAGCTGCACGAACCTGCTCTAGATAAATCAATACGCTCGCTTCCAACGCCATGCGGACCCCTCCCGTCCAGGCCCCCGGGAATAATGCCAAACCCGACCCTCATCAGGCATTGCACACCTCGTCGGCTCCACGAAATACGTTGCAACGCGGTCACGATTCGAACGATGGCCGTGGGGCATTACAAAATGGTGGACGATCTTACGACATCTCCATCTAGACATACTGCCTGTCATTAAATCGAACAGAGGCGGATGACGAGTTCTCGTTATTACAGAGGGTCTACTTTCACTTAAAACTCCGTTCTATTACTTATTATAAGGTTTTCTTACCTGAACGGACACGCACTCATTAATTTTCACAGCAAGGACGAGAGGTTCCGAGTCATCCGAACTGGTGGTAGAAAATATCGGCAGTAATTCACCTCGAGATGACAAGCACAGTCTACAAACACGATCATAATTAACACTCATTGTAAATAAACACAATTTTTCACGATTTACACCTTTCACAATATTTAAAATAAAGACGCCATGTCACCACGAGCACTTCAACACAAAGCACTGCATATCGCTCTTGCTTGAGCACGACAGCGGCTGATGATGAGCATGAGAAGTCGATGTTCGGTCGCTATGGCAGGGTCGACTCGCCGACCACCTGTCGTTCTGCGCATGTGCGTGTACTAAGTTGACAATGCTCACAACATGACGGAAAAAAGGGATACGTCGCAGGGATTGCAAACCTTAAAGCAGTACAATCTTTTAATATCAATATTTCTGGTAAGTATGAATTTTACTATCGGCAAATAATGTTAGCTGATTTATCTTGTAACAACAAACAAATCACATTTAAGTCAATATAATAAAAACGTCTTTCATAAAAAGTTAAATTTTATCCAATTGCATTTTAATGTAAAAATATGTTCATTCATGATTAAAAGTTAATATTTTTATTTTGTTTGCATATTCTTTAAAGTAAATCATTTCAATTACATATTCTATTCGTATAGTATACCCAAAAGAAATATTCGAAATATCCAAATTGTTTGCTAACTCTGCTTCTATGTTTGCTTCGCAGTGCTGACAACCTATCAATAGTGGCGCCAGATTTAAATTTTCTTGATGTTGACAGCTGCCAAATAACGCGCGAAATTTAAATGTTCCGTTTTGTTTAAATTGTTTACGTTCAAAGTTTTCTTTAATGTATATCATACAAAGTTTTTTAGACGTAAAATTGTTAATTTAGCATGCAAACACTATAAGATACGATTATTGCTATAACCTTACTGAAGAAAATTGTAATCTTTCTCGCTATTACGAGAATTGAATTACTATTAACTTACTTATAATAGTACAAAATGAAACAAAATATGACAAATGCTTATTTATTTCAATATTTTGCGTAAGCAACACGCATTTAATGCCACAACATTGAAGATATAACATTAATTTAGAGCGATACTTCCTATAATTATTATTAATTAGGTTACAATGTATGATAATCTTAAATACATAGTTTTCATAATAATATTATTGCAATTATAGATATCATTTAACAATTGTTTTTAATTGTTAAAGTTTATGTGTGAATATGATGTTTAAATGTAAATTTGTAAATACATACATTTCTACTATATTTTTATTACTATTTTATCAAAAAAACTATAAAGCATTTACTTACTTAATCTAAATAGGAAATTTCTATAATATTTCAAGTGAAGGTAAATGTGTAGCGCTTTTTTTTAAAGATTCATACATATAAATTATTGTTTTTTTTTTTTCAAATAATTAATAGCTTCTCATATAGTTTTCTTTTAATTTAATATTAGTTTAAAGGTAGATTACAGTAAGCTAGTTTAACATTATAATATGATATGAATTTATAAAACAAAAATCTTATTTCTTTTTATTTACTCTTTATATTGAAAATAAAATAAAATAAAAAATTTTCATTGTTTTTTTTTCAAAATTTTCATTTTCATTGTTCAAATAAGTTAGGGTATTGATACATTTTTATAAAGCTTAGCAACATTAACAACGATAATAGTGAACATAAAAGCTTCCTTAAAAAGTTTCTTACCCATAAAATATTAATTTTAAGTAAAATGCATTAAGCTTTTGTGCAAAGGAGAGTAAACTGAAAAAAATAGATACTTTGAATTCTCACTACTTGACAGGCCATATATTATATAATTTTATTAAGTAAAATTAACAGATATAAAATATAAACCGGTCACCTTTGACTGTACAATGTTTTATATAAATGCATATTTGTGCAATCATTTTATTTATTATACAATTTACAAAATACGACCTTGGTCCTGAATCATTTTTAAACTCGTTCGATTTTCAAATTTGGCGCTTAAGAGCACGGCGGGCAGCTAGAGCGTTGTTCTTGCGAGGGCTGCGCGCGCACGGCCAGACGCGCCGGGTCAGCGGGATCCGCTTTCACGACCAAAGCGCGTGCAACATGAGCGAACGCTGCTTCTACATTCAACCCGGTTTTTGCCGATGTCTCCATAAACGAGACTTGATATTCTCGCGCCAAACGCTGTCCCTCCTCCCGCCTCACCGCCCGCTCGAGGCCGCTGTCCGACTTGTTTCCTGGAAGAACGGTCTATTATCTATGGTATTTAAGGAAATATTTTTGCTAATTTTAAAACCACGTGCACATTAATGTATTGGCTATTATAATACGTATTACTTGTATGTATATTACATTAAGATAGTCTACACTAATATTATAAAGAGGAAAACTTTGTTTGTTTGTTTGATTGTAATGAATAGGCTCATAAACTACTGGACCGATTTTAAAAATTCTTTCACCATTCGAAAGCTACATTATCCACGAGTAATATAGGCTATATTTAATTTTGAACAAAAATAGGGTTCCGTAAGATATTAGGGTTTTTCGGACACAAGGTGTAAAAAATCAACTAAAAAAGTTGCTTATTTTGCGTACCCTGCCTAAACTATTAAAGATAGAACCATAAAATGTTCCAAGTAATTGTAGATCTTATAAATATCTACAAAAAGTCTGCGACACACTATACCTATCTATGTCGAGTGAGGCACAATAACCATAAATGATATAATGACATGGCAAAACGGCGTTTGCCGGATCAGCTAGTAGTTAATAAATTTTAAAAATAAATAGTAATCTAGGTAAACTAGAGATTTTGAAAGTATAAGCCGATCACAAATGTATTATTAATAGTAATATAAAATAAGTTGATTACTTAAGAAGGTAGGTAATGACCTATAATTTAAACACACAAAGAATATTACCTGGCCTAACAAAAGTGTTTTACAACTGGATTAATTCTACCGTATAGAAAGTAGGTCTTTACCAAGAAGCATGATGACGACATCGTCTTGCGCGTACTCTCTTATCTCGCCGAGCCACGCGCGAATGTTGTCAAAACTGGTTTTATTTGTCACATCGTAGAGCAGGAGAAGGGCTGATAAACATAATAATTCCATAAAACATCAACATATATATTAACATAAACGATATAAATTCAATACATTATGTATTTTCTTACGAGCTTAACAGTAGTTATGGTAGGCGAAATATTGCTTTTTTCCTTGTCGGCCGTTAGTTATATATAAATATGTATATGAATAGCCTTTTTAAACGACTCCTCAACATAATGAACATATGACATAGTCATAATGTAGTCAGCCAGTTTGTAAGGTTTTAAAAACGTTTACCAAAACTACAGTGCGCAGAGGTGATGAGAACTTGGAGAAACAGAGCATGGTTGGTAACACAGAAGGCAAAATATCACATAGCCGTTCACCAACCAGATGGATCGATCAAGTGGAAGACTGATCATCCTCAAAAACTATACACTGTTATAAAAGGCACTCGACAGAAACTGGTGGAAACAGATTGTCCGCTCCAGATATTTCCAGACTCAGACCACGACGCTCAGACACGAGCTACCGACTGAAGAGAGAGAGATCATTTTTTAGTTAATTTTATTAGGAAAGCTAAAACGATCCACACTAGGGATACCCACTCTTCCGTGGTTATATACCTACGTGGAACAATACAAAACATTTATTAACTGTATAAAACAATTAATTATATATAAACAAACTATGTACATGTATCACGTATCGTTTAAGTATAATTATCCATTAATGAATACCTTAGACTAATGTGTAATTGACGTATAAGCGTCTGTATAATTGATGATTCTGTCTTCAGAGCCGTCATAATTTCGTCGCGAATTGAATTCCGGGTCTCCGTTTTAAGTAGGTATTACTTCCTACGAACTAATGGACGTTTAGTACGGTGAAAAATACACATTTTAGAAGAGCTTCTTTATAATTTATTTTTCGGAATTTGGATTTGCGTTCGCGTGAGTTTCAATAATTAGATTGCTAATTATTGAAACTCCTACTCATAAAACTGAATTAATATTTTTTTAGATTTCAGTTTTTTGTGTATAATTCTAGTGTTACTTGGAATTTAAATATACCTGTTAAGTATGTAAGGAACCTATTTTTAGAAGGAGATATACGTGGGCATGCATGGTCGCCCATAGAAATCCTCAAGAGCAGTCAATGAGGGTTGTGCATGTGGCATTAAGACTTCCGTTAGATATAAGCCGGCGTGCATTTAATATTCCATTTTCTACGAAATCTAACTCTGTACGCTTCGTCAAATTAATTGCTGAATAAAACCTAACAGATCCTCAGCCATAAGGAGTGGTTTCTTTGAAACACACTTCCGCGTAGCTTTCTCGTGGACGCAGCACTCGCCGGTGTCGGTCGACTTCAAAGAGATTCTAGCTTCATCAGAAAACAATGCTTTATTCCAACCCTCCAGAGTCCATGAAGCACAGTGTCGATCAAACTGAAGGTGCTTTGATTTAGGGCACTGGGTCGGGGGGTAGGTACCTCCTAATATTGGCGGCAGAAAAGTCTTGTCCTAACCGTCCACAAGCTAACTTTAACTTCTCTTATTTCTTCAAAGCCCTACAATTCCGCTACGCCTGGCTCGTCACAAAGCGGTCATCTCTTGGTTCTGTGCATCATTTTCTTTCCGAACCGGGTCTCCTTTTGACCGAAACGGTCTTTTGATACCATTGGCAAGTTCTCTAGACATTTGAACGACATTTAGCGCCTAGACACGTAAGATTGCGAATAACCTTCTTCAAGTAGGGCTATAATTTTACCGGCCCTTATCGGTCATATAAGAGGTATTTAATGGAAAAAATAGTTTCAATTATGTATTTGATTTGCAGAAAATATCCAAAAACAATAGTTATCAGTGAATCCTCTTGTATTTATTGCTGACCACTTATTTGGTCTCTGTGTTTTGGCGGTGTACATCGGTTTTAAAGAATTCATCAAAAATGAATAAAACATATCCAGACTTTACTTCACGCGTATTAATTTACATGATTATAAGTATACAGACAATTAATTTGATTTAATTAACTGACATCGACTTTAGAACGTAAATTTTCTTTAGGTGGTCCGTTTTTAGCAAAAGAGTTTATATTCTCACCTATTCGTAACCACACTCGGTGTTATATTTTATTCCAATTCTACTACTTTCTTAAGCATGTTGTTCAATTCTACAATCGTCACAACATACCTAATGTTATGGCTATCATATTCTTTTTCAGTTTCATAGTGATTAGTGATTAGGTACCGTAATAAAACATTTCGATTATTTCTTTGATCACAGTATAAATTAAGTTAAGTCGAATGAAATCTACTAATCAGTTATATATTATATATTCACGTTTAAATTTTGAGGATATAAATGTTCTCGGTTTTTAAATTTCTGTCCGTTTCCCTGTGGAACACACTACAAATGTAATCTCAATTGTCACACACTGCCCACAGATGGAGCCACGAGTATCATAATGATCAAATCTTAACTGGATATTTAGTTCTAAATTATGTGTCTTCAAATTGTTTAAATTTTATTATGTAGTTGCACAGTAATAACCTTATTACTAACCATGAGCGTCTCTGTAATAGGCGTGTGTGACGCTACGAAAGCGCTCTTGTCCAGCTGTGTCCCATATCTGAAGCTTCACTTTGATTCCGTCCACAGCAACTACTTTATTCTGCAACAGATGGCGTTAGCTGTACAAAACTTTTATCTAATTCGAATAATTGTATGAATTATAGAAAATAACATTGATTGTGACCATATGTCATTACGTACGTCGTCAAAAATCTATTTCATTAATTAAAAAGAAAGTATGCTACCAACTACCTTAACACAATAATATAATAAAGAATTGGGCTTAATTATTTTAATAATACGCATAATATCTATTAGTAGCCCCAATTTAATTAATATCTTTGTAAAATGACAACAGTATCTTCGCATATTTTTCATCTACCTGGGCTCTTTGAATGTTTAAAACCGCACATCTTTCCACTAACCATCACGAAATGGGTGCTATAAATCAACGTTGAAAAAATAAAACAAAAAATGGTCGGTGCAATAAATCACTCAGCCAAAGCCGATTCAATCACAGCTGTCAAGTTGTAGGGGCGGGAACGGAAAAAGCCCGCCAAACTTTAACACCAATAGCGGAGCGGCATGCTGGCCGGCGATCCTTGTCGTTGGTCCATTTGAACTTGGAACCCCTGCTAATGTTTATTAATAATAATATCGAATGCTAATTATGTTCAGCCAGTGACATATCATTTAAAAACTCTTTGTTTGTGATAGATTAATAAAAAGATAACATAATCTGTGGCATGATAATGTAGGAAACTGTTATAGCTTGTGAATACCCGGAAGTCAATTCCAACGGTAGAAATGTAGTTGCCGGCAAGAAACGTGCCATCCCGGAACCGGACGAGCATGCATGTTTTACCCACGCCGCTATCTCCCAGCAACATAACCTGAAATGTAACATACATCCGTATTACGTACTGTCTTTGGGTTACTACTCATAAATAAATATGATGATGATGATGAAACATTATTATAGCTATTTCGAAAAAAGATGATGAACAAAGAATTAGCAATAAGCAACTGGATGACTATAGGAATATGTTACAATATTATTACATACCTTTCCAAAAACATCATATTTATCATCCAGTTTCCCATGCTTGTCCCATTGATCGGAAGGTGATGGTGGATCGCTTTGAGGCATCATGTTCACATCGGAACTTTCATCATCATCCCTCGCTTCAGGAAGGTTCCTTGCCCACGTTGGTCTTACACGACCAACAATCACTCTCTTCTCCATTTGTCTATGGTCCATTGAATTTGGATTCCACATTTTTCTGTTTTTCACTAGTCACAATATTTAGTCGAATTTATCATTGCAATTGTCTTGTTACAAGTAGATAACTAATTCAATATTCACTTTTTTTTAATTGGATCAAATCCTGTGATACGTTCTTACATACAGTTTACTGATATCGAAAAAAACTAATTATCAATAAGACGAAACGCATTTATTTATTTCGTAATCCTACAGCTAAATTAAAATATATATAATAACAAACAGTTACACTGAAAATATAGCCAGAGATGGAATACTTAACACATTTTACTACAAAAAGGTTCAAAAATTTACAAAATCAAACAAACAAATAAAAATTTACAAACAAATAGACCTAATTTGGCTGTGTTATGTGATGGTGTAAAAGTGAGGGTAAGTACGTGAAGGTGTGTATGTGGGGTATGCTCATGATGGAGGTGATTTCGCGCTATGTATATTCTTAATACTTCTTTTAAGCGTATTCCGCGATAGCTGAAACAGTCAACACGACACGGAAGTACAATTGCAGAAGTGAGCTGCAATTAAAATTATTCAATGATTTAATCTCAGATGATGTCATGTAGCATTTTATCGTATTGTTTTCGTCGAGTGCCTAAAGCTATAATCAGTGTTGGAGCATTCGGGGAAAATAGACAAAAAATATTCCGATGAATTGGCAAATTTCTCTTTTCTATTCCTTCGAATCACGTTAAGAGAGTAAGGGCACATTTAAAGCAAAAGACGAGAATTCAAGAACGAAGTGGCTTGATTATCATCTTGTCAGCCTGAAATAGGACAACGCACAGACGCGACGAGAGGTCTTTTCATAGCCCTTATCAGCACCTGTCAACTAAAACTACAATGTATTCGTGTGTTCTAAAATATTCTTGTAATTATTAGATTTAAAATTAAATCAATAAAATGAGCTTTTGTTGTATACTTACTTGTTTTTTGCTAAAATGCATCATGAGCACACCCTACATAGGTACACACTATCACTCAACAGCCAAATTACGTATTAAATGTATTTAATAATTTTTAATGTTTTCCTATATAAGTTTTATAAACCTTTTTGTATATATTATGTATTCCATCTTTGGCAATATCTTTAGTAAAATTGCTTTTGTTTTATAATTTAAAATTTGAGTTTTCTGTAGGACGTAATAACAGAAGAATTTATTTATTTATTTATTTAATAACAGCACAATGGCCAAACTTAGACAAAAACAATAAACAAACAAAAAATACAATAAGATTTACAAACAGGGAGCATTACCCTCTTATCCCCTCCAGGTACACTCTGAAAGCCCAGTATACCACCCCCACAAGCTTCCCAAACAGGTCGCTCTCCGGTGAAGAGTCGAGAAACCCATTAAGCAGTGAGAGTAGCCAGGGAATGGGCGCTCGTTGTCGCTGGACAGTGCGAGCCGAACGCACAGCGAAAAGGTTATGTTTCCGGCGGCGGCTATTTGTCCGGGACGTATAGCCTCATGATTCTCCCAGCAGTATGCGCTTTCCGTTTCATTCTTAATTACACTCAAACCAAACCTGACCACCGAAAAATCCCTACGAAGCTCTAATGAATTAACCTAACACCCCCATCAAGAACTTAGTAGGGTAGAGGTAAGGAAAGAGATTGCGTCTTCTTTTATACAGATTTCTCAGGAACCTTTTGAACGTTCAATCATATCCCCGCAATACCTCATAAGGGGACCATATGCGCAGCGGTCGAGAATTGGCCTTACATAGAATATAGCACCCTGTGGCAGTATCCGTCAGACCAGCCGAATTCGCAGGACAAACCCTAATCTCCTAAAAGCAGCATCCGTAATCCGAATAGTCCGCAAATGAAAGACAAAAGGCAATTCAAGCTCGGCTACGCGTAAACGGTTAAATAGAATGAATGTTTAATATGAATGTTTCTGCTTAGCGGCAAAATGTAGTTACTGCTGTTGTGTTTAAAAAGCGTGCGTCTCCCAACCAACGGTAGTGCGACAGAATCATGCTTATGCACAATAGACTTTTCTAAGTATGAAGGCAATTAAAGCTCGCTCGAACGATGAAGGAAAAGATCGTGAGAAAACCGGCATGTCGACCCAAAAGTCAACGGCGTGTGACAGGCACAGGCACACCTACTTGCCTGAATTAGTTATTATTATTACTACATTAGAAAAAAACAAATATGTTACTTTTAGCGCCACTGTTTATTTTAATAAACTTATCTATGTATAGATTTTACACCATCATTGACAAGAACCTATTTATTTTAAATGAAAACTTACACAGACACACGGCACGCTTATAACAACTCTCATACATAACACATTCCTAAATTCACGCATACTTAAGCATTTATACGACTTTTGTTTGATTAGATGTAACACTAAGACTACTTTTTCTTTAAAAAAAATTGTTTTTAAACATGCACCATGTACCTACACGAAATAATTGCAATTTAGTTACCCACAATTTACTCCCTAGTGTGAGATCAATTTTGTCACATCCATATTTCTCTCATGAATAAAGTTTTATTATTATTATTAAATGTATTACTTTGACGAAAGACCTGTCCCTTTTTTATCACACATCGTCGATATAAATGATAAACAAATTATTACTTTCCGACAAACGTATCAATTAAAACTACGGAAGAAATATGTTCGTTTTAGAAATAAAAATAAGGGAAAAACTAATTTGAATAATTATATTACTAATGACGATAAATATCTTTTAAACATTGAATCGTTTCTCACTCTCGCTCGTTAAATGCGACATAAGATTTTATAAATAACTTAAAATATGAATAAGATCGAATATCTTTTGAGTTACTACTTCATCAAAGACATGATTCGCTTCATGTTTACTTTCCCATCCAAGTTTTCTCATTATTAGTATTCCCATTTTCTTCACAAAGTCTGAACATCTAAGCCGACCTCTATAATATAATTGAGATCGTACTAATGTAATTAAGTTATATAATTGGCTACAGTGATATCCTTGTGTTACACATGACCTCGGTTTCATTCCGTGCGAAATATATTATTAGGCTTTGGTCCGTAAAACCGTTCAATCCAAATTATTTATGTCTACAAATGTATTACGTTCGTGTTATTAAATGTATAACGGGCAGGACCGTTTGCCCCCTGTTCTATTAAAAAAAAAACCTGATGTTAAGTGATACCGCCGCCCATGGACACTCTCAATGCCAGAGGGCTCGCGAGTGCGTTGCCGGCCTTTCAAGAATTGGTACGCTCTTTTCTTGAAGGACCCTAAGTCGAATTGGTTCGGAAATACTTCAGTGGGCAGCTGGTTCCACAAAGTGGTGGTGCGCGGCATAAACTGCCTTGAAAAACGCACAGTTGTGGAACGGCGGACGTCGAGGTGATACGGGTGGAATTTCGTACTCTGCCTCGACGTCCGATGACGAAACTCAGCTGCAGGTATTAATCCGAACAACTCCTCTGAACACTCTCTATGGTAAATGCGGTAGAAGATGCAGAGTGACCCCACATCTCTACGCAACGCCAAAGGATCAAGCCGCTCGGAGAGGGATTTGTCGTCGACGATTCAAACCGCTCTGCTTTGAATACGGTCAAGTGGAAGGAGCTGGTACTGGGGAGCCCCCGCCCAGAGGTGAGAGCAGTACTCCATGTGGGGCCGAATTTGCGCTTTATATAGTTGCATGCGGTGGCCCGGAGTGAAGTACCGTCTCGCCTTGCTGAGCACACCAAGCTTTTTGGAGGCTAATTTAGCCTTTCCCTCCAAGTGACCGCGAAACTGAACGTCGTTCGTTATGTCAACGCCAAGTATTCCAATGCTGGCTGTGGCTTTAAGAAGAGTGTTTTCGAAAAAAGGGATTAGCGACAAAGGGTGTTTTTTCAGCGGAAAACGCGCAAACTTGTGTCTTCTTGGGGTTAAATTGGACTAGGTTTTGTCTGCCCCAGTCTGAGACTCCACGTAGTAGAGTTTCGACTTCAGAAACAAGTTTGTTCCGGTATTCATCGACAACTTCCCGAGAAATACCTGCCCGGCCAGTGTAAAGAGTATCCCCAGTGCTGTCATCCGCATAGCAATGAATGCTGCAAACATATCATTGATATGCAGAAGAAACAGGGTCGGGGATAGAACACAGCCTTATGGGACCCCCGCGTTCACGGGTTTAAGGTCGGAACATGCTCCGTCGATGACGACCTTGATGCTCCGATCGGCCAGAAAGCTGGAGATCCAATCGCATAATTTCTCGGGTAGCCCATAGGCTGGGAGCTTCGAGAGCAGTGCTCCGTGCCACACCCGATCGAAGGCTTTCGCTATGTCCAAACTAACCGCTAGCGCCTCCCCCTTGGACTCAATTGCCTCTGCCCATCTATGTGTAAGGTATACAAGAAGGTCACCAGCCGAACGACCACGACGAAAGCCGTACTGATAATCGCTAATCAGCTGGTGGCCCTCTAGATACCTCAAGAGCTGGCAGTTAACTATGGATTCCATTATTTTGGAGAACAAGGAGGTTATGGCTATTGGGCGATAGTTGGACGGATCAGAGCGATCGCCTTTTTTAGGGATCGGATGTATCGAAGCGGTTTTCCAGCACTTCGGGACAGTGCCAAGCGAGTACAGGTACCGGAAAAGGCGCGTTAAGACCGGAGCCAACTCAGGAGCACAATTACGCAGCACAATTGGGGGGATACCATCCGGCCCGCTCGACTTATGAATGTCCAAGGAAGATAGTGCTTTGCGGACAGCACGTTGCCGGAATGTAATTTCCGGCATCGAAGAATCACACCGCGAAATGGTCGGTGGTGATCTTCCTCGGTCATCCAAAGTCGAGTTGGACGCGAAGAGACAGCCCAAAAGGTCGGCCTTCTCCTTCGCAGTGTGGGCCAGCGAGTCATCCTCCCTGTGAATGGCGGGCTGACAAAAATTCCCTTGGACAGCTTTGGCAAGAGACCAGAAGGCTCGAGTCCCTGAAGGGAGTTGGGCCAATCTCTCGCCAAATCTGGTAATGTGCTCTGACT